TAAATAAAAAATAAAAGTTAATATTAGTAAATAAATAATTTTTTATTAATATTTATTTATAATTAATAATAATAAATAAGTATTAATATTAATGAGGGTTATAATTGAAACACGTGACAAAAGATTCTAAAACACTACTCCAACTAAATAAGCTAATTTATGTCTAGCTAAACGTTTACTCGAAAAATAAGCTAGTTTATGTTTGTCAAACTATGGCTAAATGACAAGCATACTGATTAAACCATTAACCAATTTAGCTTAATTGGGACAATCGTCTCCCTTTTGTTTTATTTTATATTTAATGACTAAAACATTTGCAATATTTAGTGGTGTTCGCGATCCGGTTTGGACGGTTTAACCCACCAAACCACAAAACAATAGCAATTTAGGAAGTTTCCAAATCGAACAGTTTGACAGCAGTGACTAAACCGATTAAATCGGACCATAAAAAACTGGTCTGACCGGTTTAGACGATGTGGGCCTTTTATGGACTTTAAACTAAAAAACATAATATCTATGTCAAAATTGAAATTGAAATTTCTATCAATAAAACATTATTAAAAAAAGTATATCAAATTATAAAAGAAATGTCTATCTCTAGAATTTAAAAAACATTGAGCAAGTTGAAAAAAAAATTAAACAAATCCACCAACAATAGTTGGAATTTTGGACAAACATTGAGTAAGTCGAAGAACCTTGGAATTTTGGATTTGATTTTTGACGGATTTCGAAATTTTCCCAATTTTAGATGTAATTTTTTTTTGAAGTATATACTATTATATACGACAAATTGAACAAATAAACTCACACATCTTATTCATCTTTGGTGATGTTTGAATCATTGACCTCCTAGGAGGCCTAATTTTAGATAAGTCAATTGAGAAATGAAAACTAAAAACATAATTCTTGGACCATTTTTTTAATAAGACAATAAAAGTAGAACCTACAACATGAAAATCAAATATAATTAATACATGTGTGTTTTTTACGGTCGGTTCAGTTCAAACGGCTCAAAAAAACGTTCAGACCGCAGACTAGACTAGACCAGACCGAACAATTTAACTATTTTTCAGACCAAACTAGACCATCAGATCACTGAAACCGCAAAAAACATCACATAACGTTTAGATTTAGAGCATAATCCTATAAAAAGAGAATGGCATGAGTTTGCGAAACTAAGATGTTATTTGGCTCATGGATTTTAAAAGAATTAAAATAGTTAGAGCCTATAAAATTTCATTTTAATTACTTGTACAAATTCTATTCTTTTGCAAACCAAACATGACTTAAAAAAGTAGGTTCCAACAAGCTTTTTACTCTACTGGGCATTAGGCAATTAGCACATTTGACAAAGTTATTTCATCTTTTTTTGTTAACCTCGATAACCAACCCTCTATGCGAGCCGACTAATCCCAAGACGACCACCTGCTTTGCAGATAGCCTGGAATCACCGCATTTAAACCTCCATGGCTACAAGAGGATTTTTATTCCTTCTTGGATTTAAACTTGAAACCTCAAGACACTTTTAACCTCTGGAACCCAGACTCAAACCAATCAAGCACCACAAGTTATTTCATCTTTGTGTATAATGGATAATAAAATTTGAAATTTCTACCTCTTTAAAGCTAAATAGTTACAGTTCATAATGACAAAATTATATACACTGATTTCAGGGTTCTTGGCTTTTTATAAACAATTAAGCACAACCCAATCCATGAAATGGCAGCAATCAAAATCCAGTACGAGTTTGAAGGTCATTCATTCCTCTTATGGATGAATGAGATACTAAAACCAAGGCATCCACCAGATATACATTTTCCCAAGGTTTTTGTGTGAAACTGCTTCAGCAATTAAGCGACGCGCTTGTCCTTCTACAGCAAGCGCTAAAGATGGTGCTGCTCCAACACCAACGACAATACCTTGTAAACGTGCTTCAATATTGCTTATGGCTCGCTGCAATTTTTTCAAAATTCATCTTTAGGCTTGTTTAAAGTATGATAAAAGCATATGATAACAATACTGCATAAGTAAGAAGATGACAACCTACCTGAGCATGAGGGTTCTGAACTTCTACTCCACTAGACTTGTGAGTTTTAGTCCACTCCACAAGAGGGTCATGGATGAAAGTCTCCAGAACACTCATCAATGTCTCTCTGTGTTCCCTTACTACTGATAGTGTTATCTCACAAACCTTCAAAAACGTGCCTTCATAGCCCGTAATCCCCAACCCATCAATCATATTCTGCATAACGAAAATATTATAACATGACCTTCTACCAGGCGTATCATCATGCATCGAAGAAAAAAGCACAACAACAAATGTGGCCTTATAGGATGCATAGAATGTCCAAGTGTCCTAATAGAATGCTTTTTAGAACATAAGTTTATAGGACCAAACTATAAAGCGTCCTATCAAAAAGTGTTATAATACATTTATAGGATGCTTTTAGGCGTTTTAACAAGTTTTTTTTACAACTCTTTTAAAATGAAATGTCCTATTAACTATTTTATAGGACACTTTTGAAATGTCCTATAAACCCACCTTTTTATAGGACACTTTCTTCAAATAGCATCGTATAAAATAGCTAATACGACATTTTATGTTAAAAGCATCCTAAAAAACTTGTTAAAACGCCTAAAAGCATCCTATAAACCTATTGTAACACTTTCAGATAGGACGCTTTTTGGTTTAGTTCTATAAACGCAAGTCCTATAAGGTATATTATTAGGACGCTTAAACATTTCAAGCGTCCTATAAATCCAATTTTCTTGTAGTGAAATGTGAGAGGTTTCAGACTCTCACCTGTGTCAACCTGAAAGGTACCAATTCAGGCTTCTCCAGTTGTAAGCCTCTGTCAAATAAGCAACTGAAATCAACATGAACACAGTCACCTGTCATTGAATCAAAAAGAATATTTTCTCCATGACGATCTCCAAGACCAACTATATGCCCAACCATCGACCAAACAGCAGTAGTGTGTGCATAAGCAACACGAGCCCTAAACCAAGCCGCCGGTTCAGAAAACGTGTTCAAAAACCACTTGTGGAAAGCTGGAGGGAACATAGGAAGGATTTTGTTCTTCAACATCTCATCTTCAGCCATTTTACCTTGGCATTGATCATAAATACGCTTAATTTGAGGATTTGTCTTCTGTCGATCAAACTTCCCAGAGCTTATATATATGTCTTGGAGAATATGTCGGAGCCCACGAGTGTGGGGCACCCATTCTACCATCCCACAATCCTCCGTTAATGGAATCACAGCAAACGTACGAACATAGAGCTTCCTTCTGCGGCTTTCTGGGGCCTTGGACAATAACCGATTTATCATTGCATTAAACTCCATCATCCGTGCATCTTTCCTAAGGTCGTCCTTGGGCTTGCAGAGGAACGGGCGCTTAACACCATCACTGCCCAGTAGAATAATCTGTAGAAAGAATCAACACGGTAAATGAATATTGTGACATAGAGATAACTAAACACAGGTTATCCCAAGGAAAAAGTATAGAATGCACACATCTAACATCTGGGCCACACTCAAATTGGTCCTTTTTCCCAAGGTTATCATATTTTCCTCTGGCCAAGGCTTGTTGATCTTTAACAGTCACAAGTTTCCAGTATAAATGTGGTCATGTATGCTAGGCCACTTAAATATACGGTCTTTATACGTTGTTCATAATAAAAATCCAAAATAATCCATCAAAGTACTTTTTGTATAAGCGCTATCGGGATTCCATATCCAGCAACTAGATAAAAAAGCAAGCCTAAAAATATTGAGAAAACTGAACAAGAAACAACAAGCAAAGGAGGCAATGAGACATAACATACACAAGTAGAGGAAATGAGTACAGATGAATAGGAGAACACAGGAGAGAACAATACATCAACACCTTAATTATTTGGATAATCAAATTGTGATTATTTTATGTTTTTATGAACATATTAATAAGATGTCCAAGTATTTGAAGTGTTCTGTACCGTCCAAAGAAAACAATCCGAGCCATATTTTCACTGTACCCTGTTTACCTAAACTCGCATCCAAGTGATCTGATAAAATTCTAAAAAACGAGCATATGCACCCTTATGCTCACCCAATGTGCATCCAGTGCGGATACAACACTCTAAGGGCCTGTTTGTTAGCAGCTTAATGAACTTAATGAGACTCGTAACTTATTCTGTCAGCTATACATGACCGTTTGTTAGTGGCTTAATGATATAGAAAGTGGTTTATTCAATAAGCTTTTAGGAGGGAGCTTTATGCAGAAAAGCAAGTTTGTTTGAAACCTGCCATTTCCAATTGAAAAACATGCTCATTCCATCTATGAAAAACCCTTCCAAACAAAAACCTTTTCAATCTATACAGACAGATCAATCCACACAGACAACTTTATCCATACAGGACTTAATGAAAAACCAACCAAACAGCCCCTAACTCAAGTACCAGGTAGTTAACTTTCCTTCAGCCCAGTTAAGCAGGTTTATTATCATTGAAAATTAGATGCAGATTTACCTTTTTTGGTCGCTGAAGTGATGAAAGGACCTCAGCTTCATCTGCTATTCCTGTTATCGTTGGAAGATCTGTAGCTGAAAAAAGTCCTATTGTACTTGTATCATAAGTGGGAAGATTAACATTTATTGATCCTTGAGTAGGCATTATAATTTCTAGCGGCATCATCCTTTTGAGGGAACTAAATTCAGTAGATATGTTGATTGTTGCGCACCGCGACTGACTCGCGTGAAAGCATAGTCTAATTAAATGATCAATTAGGCTGGCAAACTGACCAAACAAGGAATTGGGTGATCCCTGATTGGATCCTTTTCGTGCATTGTTTATAATTTCTGCAGCCGCTTCCCTCCTTGAAGGAACTGTAGATTTTGAAACTGCTGCCATGATCCAGAGGGCTTGTTGTGTGTATTGCCGGAGAACAGAAGTGATGATGTGTTTGACCACTCGCACGATTTCATCATTTTGGTGACAGATTCGAGAAACCAGCTGAGGCAAAACCGTCAACCATTGATAGGTAGGCAAATCCTTCAAACACCCACGCATAATGCCCATCACCTGCCAGTGGTGGAGAGAGTAAAAATCACATGATTATTGAGAATGATTTTAAGATACAGAAAAGAAAGAAACTACCTTCCCATGAACAAATTTCATGTCTTTATTGGATGATGAACCTTTCCTCTGATAAATGCTACCAAACTCGAACCATAGTGTCAACAACCTTGGAAGGGCTTGAAAGAGATTCTTGTGGCCTCTGTGAAGCCCCTTAGCATAAAATAACAGGACTTCAGGAAGGAAGCACCACCAAGGCTTTTCAGTATTTGAACTTGTGGAAGAAAGTGTGGTAGAAGTTGAAGAAACCATGCTGGGACCTGTATCAGAATTTTCTTCTTGCCGCTTCCTTGCATCAACAAGCAACTCGTCACAATATTTTGCAGCATAAAAATATCCCTTTTCCCATTTGGGCTGCAGTTCCCTCACCCTAGAGAAGAGACTGATCACATCTTCCTTTTGCTTTAACCCAGTATAATGAATCCACCTTGAATACAACAACAGCATTTTCGCAACATCACGATTCTCATTTGAGGTTTGAGTATTGCAAGGTAAAGGAGGTTGGTTCAGAGGAACCAATGAAAGGCTAGTGATTGAGGACATTGCAGCGGAACCAATGACTTCAACAGGCAGGTTCATAAGCGACTGTTGCAACTCCGCAATAGCACCATCAGACCGCCTAGTGCCCCATAAAAGCTTAGCCTTTTCCATGTGAACATTAGCTGCACCTGATGCATTGGCTTCCAAAATTGCTCGATTAGCTGTCTCATAGTGACCAGCAGAACGACAGAGTTTTGCATATTGTATCCAGCAGTTCCCGACTTGAGCACCAAGACCACTAGCACCAAAAACCAGTCTCCGGAAAGCCAATAGTGGCTCCCTTGTCCAGAGAGATGGCTGGGTAAATCTAAGCCGATTGTCCCAGTTTTCTGTTACTTTTAAGAACTCTGGTTCACCAACACAGGACTTTTCCAAGAAAGATTCACCATTAAGGATAGAATGAAAATCCTCTAGTTCCTGCAACACATGAAGCTTAACAACAAATGGGTATGCTCGTGTATATGAATCCATGCCAGCAGCAGCTAGAGGAGCTATCAGAGCTTGTTTTGATAATGCAATTTTCTCACTAACAGAGAACTGATCTTTCAGTCTCATTGCTCGAAAGATCTTTGCAACATCCTTGTCAAATGAGGCGTTACTCTCTGAGCTACTACAAAGTAAACCTTCTTCATCAGCTCCATCTAGGTACTCATCCATCAAGTCCCATCTGCCAAGCCTCCAAGCTGCCTGAACTCCTTGCATACACCATGTTTTTTTGTATTGAGGAATCCTAGATATTAATCCATCAACATGAGTAACCACTGCCTGCAGATGGCACATATTTATCAAACAATTAAGAACATCTGAATGCTTTGGAACGGAAGTGGGTTCCATCTGCAAAGCCTGTTCGCAAGAAGTCAAAACTTCGGCCCAGTTTCCTGCCTTTTTATTTATTAGGAGCTGATCTTGCAAGCTCTTTGATTTCCGTAAAGATGCCAAACCAGACAAACCATCTGGCTCATCCAAACCACTGTATATTTCCATTAGGAATGAAACATCTTCATCTTCAAAAATACCACTTCTCTCAGCGGATGGGTTGAACGAACCAGACTTCTCACGCACATGACACTCAAAGTACAACAAAGACCTAGCATAAGCCTGACACCTAAATGAGGCCTTAGCAAGGGTCACCTTCGGAATTGCAGACAAAAGCTCTGAAACATGTTTGCACTGCATAGATAACTGGTCTGGATCCAATGAATAATTTGCACTACGATCCTTTAATTTGGAGGCAGGTTGCTTTGAACTCGATGACCGCAAAGACTGAGATAGAGCAAGCTCTTGTTCGATATCATCAACCCATTGTCCAAGATTATCAAGGAGAGTAAAAACGGCTTGAATGCAAACATCACTTTGACCAGAACTGATTCCTGGAATAGGGATTGTGCTATTCTCCGAAGCAGCTGCATTAAGAACTGAAAGAATTTCTTCTGTTATGCCGTGGCGTGCCTCCTCAGTACCATGTAAGACAGCATTTAATACCAAGTATGGTAGCAGATATGTTGCTGTTTGCATATCATGGCGTACAATACCTCGACAGGCTTTAAAGATCTTTTCTCGTGAACCAGTTGCATGTACGGTAAGTTTTTTAACCCAGTTGGAGATCCATCTCCGGAATGACAAAGAAGGTCGATAAATAGGACCAGGAGATGCAGAATCAGCCATCTTTGGAAGATGAAACCTTGAGGTTAAGCAAGGAGCTATTATCTCTTTAACATAATTAGAAAACCGACCCCACAATCTTTGACCCCTCCCATCCATCTTGGTGGACTCGTTGCTTCTGATACCATGGGCATTGGCATTTGACATGTGAGCTTGTGCCTGTAAGCTAGAAGCTTCATCAAGAGATTCCTTACAACCAGCAATCTGCAATAACTCCTGTATAGCCAGAGCAGCCGAGTCCTGAATTACGGTGTCGGGTGCGGCTCTAAAAGCCCTAGCCAAATGCTTGTGGATCAACTCAAAAATTAAATCATCATCTGAACATGCAATTTTAAAACGTTGATTTGAAAACCCTTTGAGCTTGGCAGGATCAACAGCTCCAAGCAATCCAAGACAATCAGCACAGCCCAACTTCAGCCGCTGTCCAACTACGGTCCTTGATTCTTCTGCACAGCCTCTAAGTAAGGATGTAATCAAAGAGCTCAGGACGTCCATATCCGAATCCCCTTCCCCATTTACCATGACCGTGACATCCTCTCTCCTCAATTTTAGCAATTTATTTAGCTCACATGCTACCATATACCTAACATTTAAGTTTTCATGGTTCAATCCATCAACAATATCTCTCAACTGATCCTTTAAGGTCATGGCTCCACGTGCTTCCTCTATTACTTTGTTCACTTCTGCAAGGGCAGGAATGTTCGGCAGAGGAGGAAATTCACAGATATGCTGTTTCAGGACAGTCTTATTCTCAAATACAAGTTCTTCCAAAATTTTCACAATTGTGATCATATGCAAAGAAGAATGCTCTTTGTGTTTCTCGAGTAAGGGGATAAGCGCAGCAAAAACCTGAGAGATCACATGTTTAGTACTAGAAGGGCATACCTTTGCCAATTGTCTGACAAAACAATGTAAGACAGCAAGACCATCGCTCTGCAGTGGTTCCTTACCAATTGCATGCATGAGAAGAACCATGAGTTTTGGTACATAAGTGCTAAGGTGGGAGCCCATCATATTGATCAACATCTCGATACGTTTTGTTGCTTGTATTTGGAGTGAAATATCGTCTGCGTGGAGCATTTTCCGGTCAATGCTGTTAAGAAGACCAACGAAATACGTCCTTAAAAATCCTGGAAGATCCTCATTACCTCTCAAAATTTTTGCAATTTCTTTTAGCATCAGAGGCACCTTTGATAACCTGTAAACCAGAAAAAGAAAGCAGTAGTCACTGAAATTTTGTTTCACACGATAGTAATAGAGAACAACAAACCAAGTGGAGTCTTCACGAATACATTATTTCTCATATACCAATTCCGGAATATGAACATACCTAGAGAATCAAACTGTAAAACTTGAGACCTCCAATCATCTTGAGGCATAAATTAATAAAGTTCACTTAATATATTCTCCACAAGGATCTAGATTCATGTTCACCAGGAGACATCTTAAAGATTGCATTCAACTAAGATTCATAGGAAAAAATGTATCATCATTGAGTTTTATAATAAACGCATTTTCAACTTCATTTGTTTGATCAGGAAAAAATTGGCAATAAAAAGAAAAAAACTTCCTAAAAGAAAGGTTAGTGGAATTACTACCAAACACATAATAAAGGATCAAATAGCAAAAACATGGTGTGCTTGTTGTTTAAGAAGTTAAAAAAATAATTGGTTTATTTTGTTGGGACTAAAGTAATAGCTAAAAGGATTGTTCAATTCAGGAGAGGGAGTATTTCTAAGAGTAGTCGTTCCTAAAGCCACAGCCTCCAACAGTTAGGCAGTAAAAAGAAGGTTGAGAGAGGATGTTAAATAATTCATAAAGGCATGTAGACTTCTTAAAGTTACAAGATGCATAAACCAAGAAGAGTTGGCCAGTGGCCCATGATTGGTATTTCGGTGCATGTGTAAGCCGGGAACTTAGCAAAGTATCATATGCAGTTAATTTGAACTCAGAATTTAAATCAACATGGGACATTCTACCTTATGCTGGTATCAACTGAATCACCTTCATCCACAGAACAGACTAGTTCATCCAAAAGCTCAGCTAAAGCAGCATTAAAAATTCCTTTCTTGTCAGTGCCAGTATGATCACGATAGAACTGCAAAGCACAGTCTAATTTGTGCCCATCTGCTTGATAAAGTGCAAAAGCAAGAACTTTCGGTATCCATTCGACTACAAGTTCAACCACTGCCTTGTTCAAATATCTGGCCAACTCTTCTAAGGTAACGACTGCTTGATGATCATCCTGCTGAGCAATCACAAGCTTCGGAAGGACCACTGGGACCATTCTTTTAACAAGTTCTTCAGTTTTAACGTCAAGAAGTGTTGTTGCAAATTCTTCAATCAATTTTGGGCTTCCCACAAGCCGCAATGATAGATAATTATATACTTCGTTTCGTATGTGATAAAATTTAGCAAGGATGTGCTCCAAACCTCCTTTAAGATGAAAAAAGCATGATCTGTGAATCAATTTAGATGCGGACATTCTCACGGTCAAACTTGGATTGTCAAGTTGATCAAGCAGTAAAATAAGAGAAGATAAGAAGAGTTGACCATGTATATCTGCTGCAACCATGATACCTGCTGTTGCTTCAAGAAGAGTTTCAAATACTTCTGGATCACTGGCTGCTTCATACCCATGTCTAATCTTATCCAAAAATAATTGCTCTTTTGTTTTCCCACTCTCCTCATCGAGAAACAAACAAGTTAATATATGATGCTCAAGGAAACAACTAATCTGTCTGCTGAATGCTTCTCTTACAGATTTCCTTCTATGAAGCAGGAGGTAATCAATAGATTTTATCCACTCGATTTTGGTTTCATTTAAAGTAGCTGCATTCATGTGAACGAGGATCCGCCCAACTATTGCCACACAGGAAAGTCGAATCTCTTCAGATTCATCATGAAGGAGAGTGAAAAAAGGACGGAGGAGATCTCTGTAATCACAATCCAACTTAGCCACTACGTTTCCAATATTATGGAGATTGGATGTTATTGAAAATGATTCATGGTTGTGCAGAACACTTTTGTCACACATAGAACACCAAAATCCGCGCAATAGCTGATCTCCTGTCCAACTGTGTTTATTGTTCTCCTCTTTTAAGAACAATTTGCACTTGTTTTCAGAAAATCTTGCATTGTCATCAGAAGATCCATAGAGACATGCCAAATAACCAAGAGAGATGGTAATGGATTTCTTAACTTTCTCATTCTCCTCTTTCCACAGGAATCTGCCAAAAACATATCAATAAAAGCTTCAGACAAAGAAAAAGAGGAAAGGAAATCGAGGGAATTACATCCTTTCCTGGATAGACAAAAAAAATTAATGCTTCATTACAACAACTTTTGCAGAGAGCATTTAAATTAAAAGAAGTTATTAACAGCAATCTGATATTGTTACTTCAGACATTTTCAACTCTTCCCTAGAGGTAAACAAAACCAAAATACATCAGGCCAGATCACTTTATTCACCCAAAAATCATTTCAATAACATACCAAGGGGTCATTGGCCTAGAGGTACCCAGATTACCGGTATATCCCAGCCTAATAGAAGGTCAAGGGTTCAAACTTACCAAAGGTGAAGAGTGCGCGTAAGTATTTGCCTTATACTTTAAAAAAATCATTTCAGTGATACGACATTTTTTCAAAATAAAGCATCTATCATGGACAAGTTTGCAGGAATTTCCCAATAATATTCATGCAAAATTCGATTAAGAAGGTCTTCTCATCCTACAAATAAATGAAAATTTGCTTCCCTAGTATGAAAGAACAGACCAATGTAGTTGACTCCCTCATCCTTGATTGATTTTTGAATTAAAAACTAGAAAAGGTGTTTTACAAATCTATATAACTCTATTCATGTTGTGGAAAGACTGATGACATGCCAAACCCATAGTCCTAACTCCTAACTTTTGGTTTTGTGAGCATGAACATTGTTTTCAGCTGATGTTGTTTGTTATGAGTAGAAAAATGCATATGGATAATCACTATGGATGCATAAGATGTAGAAAGTTTGCTTACTCCAGTCTCTTGTAAATCTGTGCCACTGTACCAAATCTGCACAGGACAATCAATGGCATAGCGATGATGGCTTCACTTCTAACTTCTTTTGCTTCATCCTGAAGACCCAAGTCCAAAACATCTAGATCACTCCCACTTTCAGACAAAGGTCCCATCATGGAAAGAATCTGAAGGCAGAAACATTTTGTCTTCCACAGCAGACAGGGTTCAGCTGCCAGAAGAGAATGATTCCACGGAATCTTCAACACCAACTGCATTAGATTTGTAGCATCACCATTATCTCTGAAAAGCTCATCCTTCACAGGAAGAAATCCTATAACGACAAGAACCAAATTTGCAGATTTTATATATAGGGGTAGAGTATCAAGGTGGAACAAGTGATCTAATCATCATTATTTCAACAAAACAAAATCATCATGGAAGATGCATTCAGCAGCAATTTTTTGCATGAGAAGAATTACAGTGCATTAGGTTGTAAGTTGTAAAGTAGAATAATTCCCGCACATAAATACAGCTTGTGCATCCAGGCTGATTACTAAATTCTAGTTTAAAATATCTAATACAAGCCTCAACTGAGAGACCATGAAATTGTCTTTTATTTGTGTCCAAGTAGTTGTTCTTACTGAAACACATACATCTGGAACTCTAGATGTAGGTCAACTTACTCTGTTTAAGCAGTAAACTGTGAAATGCTTCAAGATAGATAGATAAATCAAGTCGACCTAAACTTTCTTGGTTTGCCTGCAAGAAATAGCCCTCATTAGATCATGGCAAAAACTGGTTCTGTAACTTACAAGAAATAATACCTGCTGACAAATCCAAGGAATCCATTCAAGCATCTGATGAGAAATCTGAATTGAAAATTTCGCCCAATGGTATTTGCAGAAAACAATGCAGAGCATGCTAAGAGCTGTCAAAGAAATTTCTGGTTCTAACACATTAGCCTTGCCACCAGGAGGTTCCAGGCATTCAATAAACAAACGAAGTGAAGAGCTTATATATTCAGCATATTCTGTTTTTCCTTCACAAGGCAGGTAGTCAACCTTGCTCACATTTTGCAAAGCAGGATTGAAATTTTCAGATCCATCTACCTTCTGCCGCTTAACCTTCAAAATGTTGGAGTGATGAACTGGCCTTTTTTCTCCAATTCTCACTGGTTCACATCCACTGGCTCTTGACGGTGATGCATCCGAACAATCTTCCATGTTAGTTGTCTCTCCAACAAGATCAGGATCAAGAATAGATAGGGCCACTTGAAAGCACTCAACCAGACCATAATAAGGTTTTGGATAACAAAGAATGTTAATTAATGATTCGGGCTTCCAGATATGAGGGGGGCATACTTTAGCAATTTGAACATATGCACCACACAAGGCAGCCTGACAAAGATAAGGGAGGAGAAAAGAAGAAAAATTACTGATATCTAAATAAGCAATTCTGTCAAAACCCAACATATGTAAGTGAATATTTTGTAACACTAAATATCCAGTATAAACATTAATAAGCACACCTTGAGTTCAGGACTTCCAGTCTTCTGCAATGACTCAGGAAAGACATTGACTATATCAGCGGCTGTCAGTTTGATAACATCATCAGTACAACTAGAGTATAGTGCTTGAAGGCATCCGCCCAAAGAAGAATCGTAAACTGTATCTCTGCAAAAAATGGTTGTTACAAGTGTTCTAAGAGAAGAATTTTCCAGAGACTCTAGAATACCAAAATTTCTAATGCAGAAAACGGAAGCATGCGAAAGCAAAGCTAAAGGAGAACAACAGTTTTCTACCAAGATATGGGTGAGAACCACCAATGAACTTGAATCCCATCATGACAGCTGTTCCTTTCTTTGCTTTTCTTCATAATGTATTATAGCTTACAAGTACGGAACTGGAATCAAAGTCATGAATGCAATTTTTGTCCACTTATTCATGTTGCTTGATTTTAATAACCTAGGGCATGTGTTTTTATTTGTTCTAGCTTTTTACTTCCATGACCTGCAAAGCATAAATTTTCAGTGTTTCTGTCCATCTAACCATATTCAGGATACAAATTGACCATTTGGTATTACCCAGTTGATAATGGTTTACATGGAACTTCAGATTTTACATGGTACAACCTATTAAGGTTACAGGATATATGTTAACAAACATCCCCAATCCTAAATGTAAATATTATCAGCATTAATTGCAATGCTGATCGTCCGAAATGTGGAGCGGATACATGCATACAGTACCCTGCATTATCTAAGACACGACATACCAGGATTCTACACTAAACTTTCTGTTATAAACATGAAAATATATCAACCAAAAGTTAAAAACTAATTCTGGAATTACTTTAGATATAAATATGTCAAAAAGTTTACATTTCAGAGCTCAATATTATATCTAATACATATGCTAACTGAGCTAGTACTGATTGCCAACTTTGAGGTAGTTAAATGAATGTGAAAGATGTTTTGCAATGGAAGTTACCTAATGCAGCTGCAGGCAGGGGCGGACCCACTCTATAGCATATGGTGGCACGGGCCACCGCTTCATTCCTTCGTTGCAGTGTAAAAAATTATGAGGTCGAAAAAGGTGACACCATATCATTTTGTTGTGTGCAACCGTATATATTTTGAAACTACAATGATGACACAAATTTTCCTGGATAGAGTTGGTTTGCATGGCTTTTCTCCACCCCCCCCCCCCAGGCGCGGGTTCGAATCATATGTAAGTTTATAGTGGTGAGGTTCAATGTAATGCACGCAATGGTTGAAAACATCCACCCGGACCACCCCTGTACACATGCAGAGGTCCTCTAGTTTTAATACAGAAAAGGAAGCATTTAGGGGCTGTTTGTTTCCCTCTTAATGGTGACATTAAGAGGGAACCTCTTAATCGGTCAGATGTGAAACATGTTTGGCAAAAAAATAAAAGCCTCTTAATGGTTCCTCAAAGCTCTTAACCATTTTGAGGTTGAATCCATGCTAAACCATTCAGATTATTAATTTTCCCTCTTTACCCTTCCACACCTACCAGCCCACTCTCTCCTTCTCCACATCGCCCTTCCACACCAACGCATAGATCATCGTCTCCTTAAGGGAAAATCGCCGGTGACCTCCATCTTCCACATCTCCATCGCCGGTGACCTCCATCTTCCACGCCTCTGTTTTCGGCCGCGCCTTCCACAGCTTATCGACGTTCCATCGCGCCACAGCTTCTCGACGCTCCATCAGGTAATGTCTCCGGTCGTACAGGGCGTTTAGTCGCCGGTCGCTAGTCGCCGGTCGCTAGTCGCCGGTCGCTAGTCGCCGGTCGCCGGTGACCTCTAATCAGATTATTTCTTTTCCCTATTTACATTTCTCGAAGCTATTATCACTTTTACATCAAGATTGCTATCACTTTTTGTTTATAGATCTTCTGTTTAGATCAACTATTTAGATGGGGTTTATAGATTGCTATCACTTTATCTTCKGTTACAATCTTGCTATTTATCACTTTTCTTATAGATCTTGCTATTAATTTGCTTATAGATCTTACCAAGTACTTGACATCTAAACAAGCATACTAGGGTTTTTTGAAGATTGCTATCACTATTTCAGTTTAGAGTTAAAATGTGTATTTTAAGATTGCTATTTATTGTTGAGGATGGTAACAATTGTAAACAGATCTTGTAGATTTTATGTTTATTGGGCTGTTTATTCGTTTGCTAAACTTTATGTTACTTTGTACTTTATAAAATTGTTTGGACTAGGTATGGAATTAGTTGGTGAATCTTCGCACCAAAAGAAACGTAGGATTACCTGGAAAAAGGAAGGATTGGTCCAAACATGAAATCTTGTTTCGAACTAATAATGTTACGTTTGTTTGGATTAATATGAAATATGTAGTTATTTTTGTAAAATTATTGTTTYATTCAGATATCWRCCAAACAGCTTTATTTCATTCAGTACTAAATCATTCAGAGGGTTAAAATGGTAATTTTACTGTCATTCAGAGAACAATTACCAAACAACATTATTTCATTCAGCACTTAACCATTCTGACCCTCTTAACCATTCTGACCTCTTAACTATTCTGCATAAATCATTCAGCAACTGCCAAACAGCCCCTTAGCCATTTGCAGATTATCTAGCTACATTTATGTTTCCATCTTTTTATTCTTTAATTACACTTTTTCCGTCTTAACTGAACACAAGACTATTGTTTGCTATATATGTTAAGTTAACTAACCTCTTAAATTTAGAAAATGAATTGGCAAATTAACATAATACAAGTTCCTGCAAGAGATGAAAGCACTTACAGACCAAAACTTAAGGTCCCCTCATTTGGTCCATTTCACTTTGTTTCTCATTTCCATTTTTGGCTACCATTTACATGATGAAAAGTTGGGACCACAGAATGGAGTTGAGAAACGAAATGAAATGAGCTAAATGAGTTGACTCTCTTAAGATTTTTGCAGGTCATCAACTTTACAGAAAAAGCTTCTGATAAGAAAATGTTAAATCATCCTAACTCGTCCTCCTACTTAGCCTCGAATAACAAGATGATGTCACTAGGCGAAAATCCAAACATTTCTCTCTCTCCTCTTCTTCTCCCCTTGGATTTTACAATGTGTCATCCATTTGTTATTAGGAAGATTTAGCTTTACTTTTTGGATAATTAAACTAAACACTTCCCTTTTTTTCTTTTCTGTTAACTGCTTCAAAAAAACTGTTTACTCATCCAAGATAGAAACAGCTACCTGAATATATTTGTGGTCAAACTAGATTTATTGGTGGCTCCACTGCTTACCAGCTTATACTCTATGATGAGCTGCTGGCTTAACATCATCCTCCTGTTTGGTTTTTCCAGTATGTTATTAGTGCAATGTGCCATTTGCTTGTTCACAGAACAAGGTGACTGTTATCATCAAGCCGTTTAGCTACCAGCGTAAGCATTACGGGGAGTGGGCATACACAATATACAAATTAGTAACAGAACTTTTGTTTGGCAACTTTATTACTTTTTTTAAATCACACTACAGACTTTTAGGGTGCTGTCTCCTAACATTTGTCGGGGTGCCGGTGGCCTTCGGTTTATATCTATGATTTGTTTTTCTTCCTTCCAAAACAGTTACTGAAACAGTCAATGATTACAAGCAAGCAATAGCTTATGTCATAGACCAGTGGGTTGTTGATTTCTTACAGGACATGACAAAACTTACGAGAAGTCTCCCAGATTTAAGCCCTCTCCTTCTAGTGCTTGTGAACTTACAATGCCTTATTAGCATAAGGTGCCTAGTCCAAGATGCTCAAGTAAACTGTCTGAATGGTAGAATATAAACTAGATAGGACCATATAATCAATTACCAACAGCAATATCAATACCTGAACACAGGACGTCCATCCTCCGCTTCACTCAATATGGTCGATATTGACAGAATCATGTTTTCACTAGGGATAATGTCATCGTTTACTACTGCTCCCAAGATGCGCACCAAGTCAAAGCAAGCCTTCATGATGTTTGTTTATTAGAACTTAGGAACCATATAAAGTATAAGGGGGCAGAAAGTAGATTCTTAATAATATGGTTAACATATATCAATGTAGACGAACATCAAACATACCATTTGCAAAGCAGCATCTCCATAGCACAGTAGCTTACAAGCAGCCAAAACAAATGGCACATTTATTAGCCCTTCCACATTCAGAGCTCCTTCAGTTACACATTTACAGGAAATTTTAATGATCCAAGTAGCAAAAGGCTGCCATCTGGCAAGTCCTGTAAGGTTGATCATAATACCAAAACCATCAACCGGTTTATTGCATGCTGGGAGTTCACTGAGAACAGTAGAGTCGGTGGAGATTCCAAAAAGGGACTCGCAGAAACACCTCAGAGACACTTCCGGTTCTGGGTTGCTTGTGTTATTGACTACTGAAGCTATAGTCAAGAGATCTATTGAGATATAAAAACATAAAGCAATTAGCCCATGAAACGTGTAAACGATCTACGTGATAGGAAAGACTAAGAATGAGGAAGTGATTCAGATTCTCATGGTTAGTTATGATCTTTGCTCATCAGTCCAACCACCACCCACAAAAATAATAATTGATTATATAAAAAAGAAATGAAATACTATGAACATGGGACGATTATTCAATTTGTAGATAATTCAAATCAAGCCATAATAATTGCTAATATGTTTGTGCTTTGTACCTTCAACCACCCCCATGACATCTTCAAAAAACTGACGGTACGCATCTCGGTCTCCTGTACGGAGCAAGGATAAAAGGGATCCTAGTGTTTCAAATATTATTCCATGACGAGAGCTGAAAAGTAACACATTAGTTGCCCAGCAGCCAGATGAAAACACATGAAAGCATGGAAGTTCATTGAGAATAAAGATAGAGAAATACAATAAATGTAATCACAACATGAATGGAAGTTCATAAGAGATGATAACTGTTACAAGTGAATAAGATGAGTCTCATTGACAATGCTTCAACCAAGTCAAAGTCAAACAGGGCAGAAACAGTCAAAAATCCCAAAAATTCCAAAAATCCAAAAGCTTGAACACTTAATAGTTTGTAATTCAGACATATAAACGCATACATGGCAAATAAAAAAGCACTAAGACTTGATGCAAAATAAAAAGTAAAGAAAGAAAACCACAACATCGGGATTTACATGAAAATCTAAAATGGGTGAAACCACAGGTGAAGGAGACCACTGTAAAAGTCCACTGATGATGATGATTACAATACTTGGAATGGAGAACCAATGGAGAAATACTCAGATTCATTTTTGGGGTTTGGGTGCTTTTAGGGTAATGTTATGAAGGGGAGAACCAACATAAATGGCTTATAAAGCAATCAACCCATCAGGGCATGTATTGTTGATTCTGGTTGCTACACAAAACAGAAACACAAATAGCCTGCAACCTAAGATAGTGTAGAAAAGGTCATGGGACAGCCCTGAGACCTTGAAACATTGGTACATCATCGATGATGCTATGTATTTGTACGTGACCCTGGCACCATCACATAGCCAAGATAGTGTAGACCTGCAGCTTCGTGTGACTGTTTTTTAGGCAGATTTTGGAGGGGCCTTCACCCATTTCGACCCCTGGCCCTCTAGCTTTTTTTATACTATATAAAAGCCTTCTAGTTTCAGTTTTATCAAGTTTTTAAAGAAAAATATTAAGAGTTCTTCCATAGCTAGAGAGAGAGAGAGAGTTGAGAGCTTACTCCATTTGGCTTGCTACTAGTTTTGGGTGATCAATCTCCGTTGTAAGTTGCTTTCTACTCTCTTTGGTATATCAATACAAGTGATCTCTCTCTCCAGGTGGACATACACTACCTAACGGTAGTAAAGTAGTAAACTATGTAAATCTCGTGTCTTGTTCATTCGGACTTATCGACTTGTGTAGTAATAGAAGCGATCTTCTTTACAGGCACCTACCACCCCTAATTGATTAAAGAGAAGGTAGCTGCCCTAGTAGCATGCTTAAGCCACTCAGTGATACCTCCAAGTTGTTGTGGATGGAATTTGAAAAAAAAAAATACTATCCTACAGTCATATAAGATTTATAGGATTGTGTTATGGTACTTTCTTGCTTTACTACATTTGAATGTTTATGGTTTGAACTTTTACGCGTAAGCTACTTGGCCATGAGACTTCACTATCTTCATCTACCTCATTCACATTTGTCTTCATTTTCAATCACCTTCACGAATTTTTACATACCTTCAATCACTTTCATAGATTGAGGTTCAATTTAATTATTTTGGAATGACGATCATGATGGACTTGTTGCTAATTTGAAGGTTGCGATTATGTATGTTACCAACTAGCAAAGGTGCACCTTATGACCTTATCACAACAGGTCATGTGATAAATAGTTTAATGATATGTGTAAGATGAAGATCTTCAATGTACATGAACACTTGATCTTATTTATCATGTTAGTTTACTATAAGCAATAATGTAGATTTTTTTTATATATAAGCAATTGAGATAATTTACTTGCCAAAGAATAAAAGACAATGGAAAACATAAAGGCCTTACCATGAATCATTAAGAAAAAGCTAGAGAGCTCTAATAAAATATAGATATACTATGTGAAGCACAAATTTTCAAAAGAGTCCATGATGTGAGGCTACTACCCCTTGTTATCTATTAAAGATGCCCCTAACAACAATGGACATCAAGCTGCTTAATGGAACTTTACACGTTTGTAAACACAGCATACTCCCTAGTCCAAGAACCCTAACAACATCAGACATCCAGTCACTTCAATTAACTCATTTATTATTTTTATTAGCACAATGAACAAAAGAGAGAATGATATTTCGATGAATTAACCAAAAGAACTTCCATAACATAATTTCATAATATTTAAGGATCTTATGAATATTTTCTGGAATTTGACATGAAGTATCAATCACTCACCAGAATGAGGGTTCGGCCAAAAAAGGTAATATACGACAGATTATTGGTAAAATTGCACTGGCCTTTCCATGGAAAAAAACTCCCGGAAAATTCTTGACCGTATGAGTCAATAATTTCAGTACCGCAATCACCTCCCTCTCGTTTGCTGAAAAAACCAGAGTATGAAAAATCAAGAACCCATCGTTAAAGATGACTCATGCAACAGTAATGGATTGGATTCTCCATGCATAAAATGAATCAAAATCCCTTCTATATTTCAGACCAAAAGGTATGATCAGACTTCTAAGATCAAGCGGACTAATCGTCAACTTCAAAATTGCCATGTATAACCTAGTTCTTTTTCTAAGAACCGATTAAGCTCTACAGCAATAGAACAAGCAGAAAAAAAAATGCTAATTCTGTGACTATAACTATGAAACTTGAATATGATAAGCAATAAGTGAACACGCTATGATCGACGGTAACAATAATAATGTTTACTAAAGATGAAAAAGAAAACACATCTAGCATGTGGCCATATAGTATTTTAGATATAAGGCCATTAAATGCCTTGGCCAGCAGAAAATAAATTTGTAGCATATGAATGATGCTACAAATTTAACAGATCATAGTTACAAAGTTTCATCAAATGTTCTTGAAAACTTGGAATGTTCCTGCCAATCAGAACAAGATAAGACAATCTAAGGGTACGTCATAAGAACGCACATATACATGAGTCAGCATCGAAAATAAAGAGTATTATAACTAATAATAGGAACTAGAAGAAATGCATATATACATGAAGCGAATCAGGGAAGAGTAATGACAACAGGATAGATTAAGAAAAAATTGAAGAACTCATCATATGCACACATATTAACTCTATTTTAGAGATTGATACTCACTCATATACACACAGGTAAGTAATGAAAACATAAAATGAGGAAAAGAAAAAGAAAGTATTTGAGTTGCAGATAAGATATTTGACATAAAAGAATGAAAACGCAACAAAAAGCCACCAGAATTAGCAAAAGAATAGCAGCAAAAAAAAGCAGCTGGCCAAAAATATAGTAAAAAGTGTTGTGTTTGCTGAGTTTTGGCACTGGGTCCTTTACCGGCATTTTAGCAAGTAAATTGATTGATTCGAAACAAACAATCATATCTAATGATTCAAAATGCTAAAAGGTTTTAGAAAAGAAAAGTCATTGAAGTAATCAAGCTTCAAAAATATTACCAGATGAAGATGGAATGACGTAGGCGTGGAGGAGATTGGGGATAACGGCCCGAAATCGGAGCTCTAAAGAAGCATCTTCTGATCTGTTCGGAGGTGTTGACGATGATGCTGCTATTCGTTCACGGAGTTCGTGAACTAGACTTGAGAGGTTCGCCATTTGCTTCCCGCTCTAAACTTTTCCCTGGTATATTTCGAAAGGGATTTTTTACTTCGAAATTGCGGGTGAAATCAGGTTGTTTGAGTGTTTACCAAAATTGAAATGAAGCTCCGACAACTTACAATGCCTCTGACCGTTGAAAGAGGCGCCATTTACCCCTTAAAATCATTCAAACAGAGGGTAGCAAGTCGAGAAAAGAGAGACGAGAATGAGCATAGTAATGAGACGGTGGCGACCAGAAGAACGGTAGCAATGGGACGTTGAAAGCAAAGACGACGACGGTCGGCCGACGGGAGCAACAAAACGGCAACGATCCGGCGAGAGAAGCAAAAGAAAAAGTAACGCTGTTGGGTTTCTCTCTTGAAATGTGTACTGCTTATTACTTACAAGCATCAAGGGTTTTTGTAAAAGTTTTTATTAGTAAATTGAAGTTTTATAAAAAAAATATGGGAATTTGGAATGATTAAGTCTTTGAACTTTTTTTTGGAACAAATAAGTCCTTGAACTTTTCAAAACATGTTAAATAAGTCCTTGTTGGACAATTTTTTGGCACAAATAAGTCCTTGGACATTCCAAAATATGTTAAATAAGTCCTTAAATATTCCAAAAAATGTTAAATAAGTCATTGGACAACTTTTGGAACAAATAAGTCCTTGAACAATCCAAAACATGTTAAATAACTTCTTGAACTTTTATAAAACATGTTGGATACATTCTAATGACTTGTACAACTAGTTAAAATGGTAATTATTTTTTTGTAAATGTAAGTACTTTTTTGTTATATTTGTTTAATTTTATAGATCTAAATACTTTTTGGTTCAAAAAATATTTAGGGGCTTAATCGTTCAAAATATGAACGTTCATTGGGTTTTTTTCCGGATTTTTTTCACTATTTTACCACTTTATTTTTTTCAAAAAGTTATTTAACATGTTTTGGATTGTTCAAGGACTTATTTGTTCCAAAAATTGTCCAATGACTTATTTAACATTTTTTGAAATGTCCAAGGACTTATTTGTTCCAAAAATTGTCCAATGACTTATTTAACATATTTTGGAATGTTCAAGGACTTATTTAACATGTTTTGGAAAGTTCAAGGACTTATTTGTTCCAAAAAAAAGTTCAAGGACTTAATCATTCCAAACAAGAAAGTTCATTGGTTTTTATTGTACTTTTCCCAAAAAATATTTAGATTACCTTATGATCAGTATCATGTCGGATAAGCTGATAAAATAAAAAGTAAAACATTGTACTTTGAAAAATTTACTCATTATAGCATTAGATAATCTTTAGATTTAAGTTTACCCATTATATTAGGTTTCCATGTAACATCTACTAATTCTTTTTAAACAATGTACTTTTAATAATATTTAGATATTTTACATGTAATTTAATAAATATATTAAATGAATTAAAAGAATTCTAAATTATTTATTAATATATTAATATTAATAAAAGTACTAAAAGACAACTTATCACGTTAATATTTTTTTTAAAATGTGTTTTTTGAAAAAAGAAAATAAGAATTGTTCATTTTTTACCGAAAAAATATTATCTTTTAAAGAATATATTATATTTGTTCAAAAACTTTTACTTGACGTACAAATATATTAAATTAATTAGATTTTTTTGAAGTATTTATTAATATAATAATATTAAAAAAATTGTAGAAGACAATTTATTTCGTTAACATTGTAGAGAGAATTTTAAAATAAGTGTATTTTTTTTAATAAAATAAAATAAGAAGTGTTACTTTTTTACAAACAAAATATATCTCGAAAATAATGTAGCATATTTATTTAATAAATATTTTACTCTAGAATATTTAATTTACATGCAACTTAATAAGAAAAAGTCAAAAAATTAAATGTTTTTTTTAAATCATAGCAATAAAAATAAAAATCATTAATAATAATTTGAAATAGGTTTTTTTTTTTTTTTTTAATTAAGTCATCAAAATGATGTGTCATCCACATCATTTCATTAAATTCACACAAACAAAAAAAGTCAAAGAGTTAACCGGTTTAAAAGGTAACAAGTTACCCATTGCTATAATTAGTAGATTTTTTAAAGTTGGATGTCTTAATAAAAAATAATTTGAAAGTACATTGTTATAATAAAGAAAAACAAAAGTAGAATGTTATAATAAGAAAATTTATGAAAGTATGTTGTTATTTCATGCATTTAACCCTAAAATAAATGAGAAGTTCTTTTTTACATTCAAATACTAAAAACTATTTATCACCGATATCATACCGGAAAAAGTTAATAAGTTAAATTATTACTTGTGCCAAACTGGTATAATTATTTCATTTTTTTTCTCCATCTAAACATTAAAAAGTTCTTATTACCAGTACCAAGCCTGAATAAGTTAATAAGCACTTTAAATAAGCAATCACAAACACCCCTAAATATTCTAATGACACTTTATTTGGTGAATTGATATTCACCCTGGATATAGATTAGTGAGATGTATTTGATCAATTTGTGTATCAAATGTGAATTCACTCTTGAATGCAGGTTAGGATAAGATGTATCAGATTAACTATATGATTTCAAAGGTCAAGATCTTTTCTTACGCTTAACTCGTTTTTTCATTTTTAAAATTCTTTTTGGAAGAACCAATTAAGCTTATCATCAATGATAACAATAATAATTGTTGTATATTTTGATATGCCACTTTAAACCCAAGCCCAAGAAATTTTGAAATTTTTGAAATTTTGAAATTTTGGTATTTTGAAATTTGTATATTAGAAGTAACACTGGTATTTGTTTATCGCTTTCACTTCTCAATTCTCATTTCTTTCTCTCTTTATCTTCCAAAATGGTCGGTAAACAACATGATGCATCAAACGAACAAATTATCAAAGTTCTCTTTTCGTCTGAGATTTGGAATTCATACAAATCTTGATACATCTCGCGCGCGCAATGCTTGAAACGAAATGTAAACCACAAGGACCCCAATGTACTTATTTCAAAATAGGGACTATATACACATTATGAGCTAACCACATGCAACGGTGTAATTTACTATTCTTTTTTAGGTGACGTTTGTTTTTTAAAAGGTGTTGAAGTCTGAAGTCTGAAGTCTTATTTAACTTCTAATTAATAAGAGACGGTGTTGAAGTCTGAAATCTAAATCAATAAGACTGTTTGTTTTTATAAACTGACAAACGTCTGAAGTCTGAAATCTTAATTAATAATTTTTTTTTGTAAAATCAGGTGCAAATATTTTGCAAAATTCTCTTGATTTTCATATTTCCATTGCCGAGATTCATCTTAACAATTCTTAACATATGGAAAACAGTAAGAAACCATTTGGATACCTTTCAGACTTCCAATGCTATCGGGAATGCCGCGGTGAGTTTGTTTGCGGAAAGATCGATACTCTTGGTAGAGGATAAATCGCCGATAGAAGCAGTTCTTGTTTCACATTAATCTTCTAAGCTAACCTATCTGTACAGAAGTTATATATATATATATATATAT